CTTAAAGGTAGGGTAGGTAAGAATGGAGAAACCAGCTCGAGTGCGCTAGAATTTGAAAATACACAGCCGAAAAAAATCTGCCCCTTCCTTCAGACTTCCTTACAGAGCCCCTCCTCCAACACACACAAACACGCACATGACCAATGAGGGCACGAGATAAGTTTGTGCACAGATGGAAGGCTGACAGGCAGGTAGGCCATCCAGTTATTTTGGCCGGGCCGGCTCAGATGATTGGTCGTGCTTTTTACAGCGCCATAGCTTCCACAGATGATATTTTTTTATGTATTTATGGTCAAAGCATTTCATGTATTCATTGCTATCGGGATGTTAAGAGCATTCCATGGAATTTAACAAAAAGTGTTTCTGAAGTGAATTACCTACCCCACCTTTAAGAATGTATGCATTCGAAAATACATTGCATTTTTCTTTCCCTCCAGTTTCTTCGTGTAGCACACTAGCACCACCATGTGGTCACTTACCAGAGATGCAGGTGCAGTACAGCTCAGCCAGGAGATCCAGTTCCAGAGAGAAGGTGACTTTGAAAGGTTCGGGACAGGGTGTCTGCAGGTCTGGTGTAACTTTAGATCCCATCCTAAGCCCTGACTTAGTGGGGGTGCAAGGGTCCAGAGAGGACGACAGAGGAGAGCCGACCTGCTGAGCTCGCTTTGTCCTAAAAACAAGACATTTCTGATTTCAAACAGCAGAGGTACACTGAGGTAAAGAGCAAGTGATGCTGCAGTGAGTAGGGTAAACAAAGCACAGCAGAAGTTACTATTGATACAAATAAGAAAATTAAAAATGATATGTTGTGACATCTGTCAAAGAAGCTCAGAATCATAATGAATGTATATCATTTTAATTACAAAGTGTAGTTCACCTTTTTTAAAAACCCTATGACAAACTGCAAGGTATTACACAATTATTATTAAGCCATTATAAATCCATATTGTACACTGGCACGCATAACTGCACATGTCGCACTGAACAGGTTAAAAGTATACACAAACACATTTATAGGGAAAAAAGAGATCTACAAGAAAGCCATAGCGTAATATCATAAAACCCTATGACAACAAAAGTCTGTACGATAATAAATATTAGATCCAGGTAGATATAAGCAAGTATATAAACTGTAGGCTTGGGGAATAGGTGACTACATGCAGTTCAATAATGTCCTCTCCTAAAAGACACCCTCAGGCTGCCTGAGTGAGATCTGACCTGCCCCGGTTACTAAATTAAACACTGACACACTTTACTCTTTGTCACTTCAGTCTAAGTATAACTATAGGAGATCCCAGACTCATCTATTTTGATCATTTTCAACAAACTAGTTTGGATGTAGTTAAACTACGTTTTCAAATAAGTGTTAGCTTATCTTGCCACTGGCAAAGTGCAGGAAGAGAGTGTTGTGACGGTGTCAGCTACAGTTCCCCAAAATGAGAGTAAACCACCACATAACCAGTGATGAAATGCAAGGTCCTTGCAACAGATCCTGCAGTTCGCTCAGAAGTACACTGTTGAAAACAAAGTATTTCAACCTGGACATTTCACATAAGTCACCGAATTGAAGTGAATAAAAGCCACAATTGCCAAAATTTTAGTTGTTTCCCCCCCCCCCCGTAGAGCAGCGTTTGACGCGATGAACGGGAGATTTCTCTTCTTTTTTTTTTTAAATACATGTGTTGGTAGAGCTAGAGAGAGCACACCTTTATCTATTTAATATAGCCTAGTTGTAAAAAATAAAGTAAGAGATCAGTCCAATGTGTAGCCTACTATAGGACAGTAAGGAAAACAGTTTAAAAGGGGAGTGATTAGTAAAAATATGCATAAGTAAAAAGAAAGAATGTTAACTAACATAAGATAAGAATAAACCAGTTTAAATGATTTGTTATTGGTTGTGATCATATTCTAAAGATGTTTGGATTATTGAAAAGTCTACAGCTCCCTTTCATCTGAGTGTTGAGAGCTGTATCCATAAATTCATGTTGTGCTCAAAGTGCAACAGATTGATGCATTTCACTTCCCGGACCCCCCTAGAGGATGTGAGGTCCACCCCCAAATAAAGCAGGTTAAAATAATTTTATTGAATACATTGTCTTTTAGTAAATACTGAAAACGGGTCCCACAGACCCAAACAGCACACAAAGGTTAAAGGTCAGCATATAATAATGTTAAAATGTGCTAAATATATACACTGCAAAAAACAAAACAAAGAGGAGTAAAAGTAGCTCACGATTGTTTTATTTTTGGAAAGTAGCTCTCATCCTAAAAGAGGTTGGAGACCCCTGCTATAGAACAATACATTTGATAATTTGAAGCTTGGCCTACCATCCATTGTATTGGAGCGATGAGGAACAGGTGGGGCTTGAAAAGGCCCACCTGTTCAAAGTGGGGAATGACAGAAACAGTTTGAGAACCATTGCCGCAGAGTAAAGAGTTAACGCCTGTTTCAGAATAAGTAGAATAATGATGTATGTTGTTCACTCACTTCTCTCTCTTGAGAAGCTCCCTCTCCTCCTGCAGACTCGGGGGACTCCCCACTGTCATTGGCCCCTCAAGCGCCTCTGTAATTAATGAGGGGCCCGAAGACTCACTGAACGGGGTGGAGGTGAAGCAGGTCTTTGGTTTGGAGAGCGGCCGCTCTGCACTGACCGGTGTTGGGTTGATTCTTCTCGATGGTTTAGATGCCCTGAAGGATAATAGAAACTGTTAGACAAATCAAAAATATCAATGATCAGGTGGAGTGAGGATGGAGTGAGGATGGAGTGAGGAAGGAGTAAGAGTTCATTTTTGTTAAACTGAGAGTTGTTTCGACTCACGGCGGTGAAATGGGTGATGATCCAACAGGAGGGAAGTCTTCCAAGTTGTTGAAGTTGAGTTGCTCCACAGATGGAGGTGAAGCCTGCTCACTTATCCTACTATTCCCTCCTCCTCCTCCTCCACCTCTTCCTGACCTCCTCTCATCACTTTGATGTCCTCCACGCCATCCTCCATGTTTCCCCTGTCCCCCCACTGCCATGCTGCCTCCACCTCTCCTGCGGGCTTTTTGTGACTGGAAGCTGGGGCTGTTCTGGACGTCAGGAGGAGAAACCATGTAGTCTCCCAGATTGATCCTCTGGTTACTCCGACGATCAGCGCCTGAAGGCCTGGAGGCGGGGCTCCATCCTGGAGTAAAAGGGGGGCTGTTGAAAGACCCTGACTGACCAGCAGCATCCCACTCTGTTCCAGGGGACACTGAGGGAGCAGGAGAAAACAGCTGGACACGGCTGGCACTCCGAGAGCCAGCTCCACCACCAGCAGACCGGCTACCTCTCTTGTCACTGAAGCTTTGCGTCTGTGCAGCAGGTTTGTGTCGGCTGGGGGTCTTAGCTGGCGTCGCAGGGCCATGGGTGAGGGCCTGACTGCTCTGCACTCTCAGGAAGTTCAAAAGAAATGGGACAAATTCTTGTTTGAGAACTGTCACCGCAGGTTCTCTGAAGGCCAGCCTGTCATCCTCCTGAGGAAAAAAGAGATACAAATGAAAAAATAAAAGAATATTGATAGCTGAAATTTCTCAGATGAATGTATTGGTTTAATTTAGAGCTGCAAAAAGGAAACTGACACAATAATAATTGCCATAACCAATAATAATAAATAATACATTTTATTTAAGGCGCCTTTCATGACACCTAAGGACACCGTACAATTTTTTAAATACTCTAATAATACCTTACATTTATTATAGCGCTTTTCCAGATGCTCAAAGCGCTTTACAAATACACATTACACACATATCATACATGTAACGGTCATGTACTGTGGACAATACCCACTACTCTAAGAGGTAAAAGCAACAGAACATGATAAAAACACAAACATACCATCATTGAGAGGACAATTCAAGTGGACACAAAAGATTGGGAAAAGGTATTCAGGGGAAACCGATGATAGGGAGCACTACAGTGAGTAGGCTGATCTGAACAGGTGGGTTTTGAGGAGGGACTTGAATGTGGTGATTGTGCCAGACTGAATAATAAAATATATTGGGATGCAGATATTTAATTCTCTATTCTTTTCACTGCTTTACAACATATCATTAAGTTTTGGACGAAACTAAACATTTAAATACATCATTGTTTTTGGGGGGGGGACATGTTGTTCCACGTTATATTGAAAACGACTGACCAAACGATTGATTGATTAATCAAGAAAAATAATCGGCAGTAGAATTAACAATAAGAAATATTTTCAAGTTGAAGCCCATGTTTATTTACAACATGGACAGAGCAAGGTTGTTGCTGCTGTTATTGTAAAAGCAGATTGAGCTCATTTAGTTGGGCAAAGTTTTGTGTAACAGTGAATAATTTCATCACCACATGAAGCCTACATCAGCAGTAGAAGCAATACTAACTGCAAGTAGAAGCAATACTAACTGCAAGATTGAAATGTTGTTCATATATATATATACACACACACACACGTTAATACTGCTCTTACTTTTCCAATGATAAAGCTGAATGTTCAGATGTTATTTAGGGAGCATATTGTAACACCTTGACCAGTCTTTTGGCTAAGTCTGGATTTATTTTACCATGTTTATTAAGTATAATTTGCACTGTGCTTTCTTTCAAATAACAGCATCCTGTTGCAGGCCTGTTTACTTAGTGGACACAGCCTTCTTCAGATAGTAATAATAAAAATACCATGTCAAAAAGTTATGGTAAACTATGTGTTAATGCTACATTTTCTGGAAGTAAAGTTGACATCGTAGCATCTGGTCTGCAGTCCATGCAGGATACAGCTAGCTTAGCCCGTTAGCCCTGCAGCTAAAAGTTTTGTTTACAATCAGTTGAGTGCTATGTCATCTCATAAAACACAATATACAAAAGCACTGGGGAATAAGATGTCTCACATATGTGTCTCGTAATCATTTCAGACTAACCTTATTATTCTTTAGCCAGTCCAAGACCGTTTTATTGTCCACTTTCTTCAACAGAAGAGATTCCAAAAGAGCCGCCATTCTGGTGCGGAGCTACGCGGCTGAAGGACTGGGGGGAAAGGGGCGGGGGCAGCGTCTGCGCAGGCGCGTACTGCGTATGACGTAATGATACAAGTGTGCAGCTGGCAGAAGCTGATCGTCGTATGTTATGGAGCTAATTTCCTGCAATAACTCCACAAACAAACTAAATACCATACAAATGTACCATCTACAAACTAATGCATTAAGTTCTCTATCAGATAAACACATAACATTTTTCTAATATGTGTTTGTTTGATAGATATCTTTTTTATTTCCAAAACGTAATGCATTAGTTTGAAGATGCTGTTTTGTATTTGCAAACCACACTGTGTTTGTTAGTGAATCATAAGGCATTTGTAAAATATGTTTAGTTTGTTTGTGGAGTTATAGCAGGAAATTAGCTCCATAGTATGTAATGTCTTGTTGCTTTGTATGTCTCCCCCTGGACTTTGTTATGTATAATGTATGATGTTCATGTATGATGTTGAATAGATGAATACAAAATAAATAAAAAAGCTGATCGTCGTTTCCATGATCCCTGGCTAGACTATTATGACTAAATTGTTCTAAACATTGAGAGCAGTGTTCTCAAACTCAAGGCTTATATGACCTATTGAACACTTGTACAAAAAACAATTTAATAAATACAATAAGGTACTTACTTTTTACATTATCATCATGTCTAGTAGTGCAATACAGCTGAGGTATTAGTGAAATATACACATCAATTACAAAGATACAGTTACTAACATTGATTGTTATCCTTAAACATTATGTCATTAAATGTTTGGCTAATCCTGGAAGCTGCTTGACATCTTTCTTGATCCATTTTTCGTCAATAATACATATATGCTATGTACAATTTAGTCATTTGGACTGTCTATAGGGTCATGTTTTACCCTTTGTTAATTATTGTCTGCCCCTCGTGGGTGCAGGAATCTTTCTCAGTTGTTCTTCCTGAGGTTTCTTCTATTCTTAAGAGGTTTTTGGGAGTTGTTTTCCTAATCTAAAGGGTCTATTGCTGTACATAATATTGAAAAGCCCCTTGTGGTAAATATAGACTTGATTAAAATGAAGATATGGATCTAAAATCTTCAATGTATTCATTTTTCTGGGCTGTTTTGGTTGTATCTTGTATGAATCGTTCTTAATGAAGATGTTAATTAAAACAATTCAAGGGGCTACAATAAAAAGAAAAGTGAAAAAAAAAACCTTACACAGGATTATGTCTGCATGCGGAATGAGTATTTTATTTATAACCAGTTTATAAAAATAAAATACAAAATAATTTCAAAACAAAAAAGAAAAAAAACACTGTACAAGGCATTGGCATGACACAAATGATAGAATAAACATAAATAATTACAGTTATATACAATGCAAAACTCCCACTTGTTACATTCTTTCCTTGAAACTGTACAGTAACATTTCAAAACCATGACGTACATTACAACATAAAAATATCCACCATTAAAAAAATCCCGACAATTGAAGTCAAAATGATGGATGGGTGAATTAGCAAATGTCACAATAAATAGTTTCTGTCAAATATTTAGAAGTTACTTACAAGTAATTCAATGTAATGACATGAGAAGTGTACAAGTGCACACCAAAGCTATCATTAGTTTAACTTTGAAAATAAATGAAAACATCTGGGTTTCTTTTGCTGGCATCTGGGTATTTAACCACAGATACCCAGCAAGCTACTATAAATATGACACCTTTCTATGAGCAAGCCACTTTAAAAAGCGACAAAGAAAATCTCATCTGGAGGGTAACACTAGTAGACTACATCTCCACATCACTTATGTATGTGCATTAAAAATAAAGAAAACATGAGAAGATATCTGATTATCTTTAGAAACCAGCAGCACTGTTTACTGTCTGTTCCTCCCTTTCACTGAAGCCTGTTAGCATTTACAATAGTTATTTTTTATTTCAATAATTACTTTATATTTTACAGGTATATATTAAAAGTCTGCACAACTGCGTTCGGAACTTTGAAAGCTTAAAATATCTTGAAATCTGGAGTTGAAAGAGGGACGATTCAAAGATTGATTGCTGGCGACATGTAAGGAATTGCACGCTCCAGATTGAGAGCATATTGTTAACACACACATCTTGAATGCTGCACACAGTCGATCGAAACATTTCCCCACGCACTCTCACAGAAAAACATGGATCCCTCCGGTAGAAGCACAGCTTGGTAAGCACAAGAGTCTGACAGCATCGATTTGAGTGTGTTGATATATTGACCTCGCTGACAGACCTTTCACACACACACAAGGAGATGAGTGACAGAAAGGCTTGGCCCGAATAGTGGAATGATCTCCAACACAGACAAGGCTCAGTCATCCCTCAGTTTGCACAGAGGGGCAGAGAGGAGACATTAAGGCGACTGACTGACTGAACGCTGTCTGCCTTCAGGATGAGTCATCATAGCTGCTCTGTGAGCGGTGATATCTGCAAGGTCTGCACAAAACAGCACGCGTTATACATCAATCTCTGTGCGATCTCGTATTATCAAATCTCAAGTCGAACCACATCTGCAAAATCTATAAAAATATGGGATTTTTTTTGTGACTGCTAATGTGGTTGCATGAGGTACTCATCCAAAATCAGTTTATTACAGCATAGATCAAGGCTCCAGGGACCAGTACTTGTAAGACAGTGAGGTAAAGGGAAGAAAATATACTTAATATACTGTACACTTAAACTGATATCAAAATATGTTCAACAGCAGAACATTAATTAGCTTTTTTAGATTTCCCCTTGGGGATACGAAAAAAAAAAAAAAGGTCTTCTTTGTGACGTTAAACGCTGTTTCTTCATAAAGGGCCATAAAGTGATCTACTGTAAATAATAGACTGACTATAAAGTACCTTATGCAACCCCACCTAAAAACATCCGAACTACCCCTTTGATTCTTCAAATCACAGTTGTAAAGTCTATTCTCCTTATTTATTCTGGTCATTCCATCAGGTCAGTATTTGCACTGAGTACAGTCCTCTGGGCTCGTACAGTCTATCATATTCCTGCAACACATTCATCCCAGTGAAGTCAGTGCAGAGAGCAAAGCAAACAAGTCAGACATCAGGTGGGAAGGGGAATAGAAAGAATATTAAATGGGTCAGAGAGAATATATATAGATTCAAAGGTGATTCACTGCTGGGTTAGAACCAAGAGAGATACCGTGTGATGGGAGGTGGAATGCAGCTTTCTACTCAGTCGTTGGTTCTGCGTGTTTTTTTTCTGTTGGGCATGCAAAGAGGAGCATCGAAAGGAAGCCGGAGTTATTTTTACAGTATCTTACAAGCGGAGGAGGTTGTGGAGGTTCAGTGAGGAACTAAATGATTCCTTTCCCTTGTGCACAAACAAACTGTATGTCATTATATAAAAGACATGGTTCGGCACAGGAGGAACAAAACTAACAAGAAAACCATCTGGCATGGAAGCCTGTAAGATCATTTTGGTGTGGGAAATATATTTACATATGGCCTTGATTTTCAATAACATTTGACAAGATGTTTGAGGTCGAAAAATCACATTTTGATCAAGTTTTATCTCCAGGACTGACCAGGTATTTATAAACAGGACAGTTGTGATGGGTTCCACTTCAAATATTTCCTTTTTTTGTCATTACAAATAATTGCTACTCAAGTAACTCTCATTGTGTTTGATTTACAAATATTGGTGTTGCTACCTTTTCCTAAGAATACTGGTTAAAAGGGTTGTCTTATTGTTTAAATACAAACAAAGTGAATCCTCAAGCTACCAAGGCACACGCTGAGACAAACATTTGAGTCTGAACATTAATACATACTCAGTAATGTACCTTGTGTTGCTTAAGCTATCTACTGCTACTACTCCATAACTACCACTAACACACTTCTAACCTGTAATCCCTTCAGTCAGCGAAACACTTCCGATTCCCCCTTAGCAACACAGTAGGCACAAAAAGGTGTGTGTCCTCACGCACTTGACATGATTGATTGTATTGATTTAGCATTTAAAACTAATGTGAGTGACACAAAACCATACATCCACCATCACAAAGAAGGGGGTAAGAGTCTTAAGCATTGCTAAGCGTCAAAATAAATATCTCAATAAATACAACTGTACACAAATATTGGCTTTATGCATTCGGATAGAGCATAAAGTAAACATCATACCCAGCCTGCAATCTCTGAGTGCAGAGGAGATGAGTGGGTCAGCCCCAGGGCAATATTTAATGAAGTAGTGATCATGTTTACTGATCTTCCATCAGTATATTCCAAGTGCATTAATACTGGGGATACATAAGTTACATTACATTGTGGTGCAGGATGCATGAAGATGAATAAACAGGAAGCTGATTTATTTATGTGCCCACCGGCCAAATAACTATTAGTTTACATATTATATTATGCCTGCATGTAAACCATTCATTCATTTTGCAGCTATACTATTTTTGTCTACAATATAATAATATATATGAAACGAGGACCCTGACTTGTCAACATGGCTTGTCTAATAAGTTCTTAAAGAAGCACCGATTTTACACACTTGGCTCAGTTTAGTCGTCGTAAGAAGTACTCTTCAGACAGCCGGTGAATGTCAGATTGGGTTTGAGGCTTTTCAACAGTAAGCCTTACAAACTGGGCACTTATGCTTTTAAGTTACATTAAGGGATATGTAGGAGCTATAATGGCGTTTAGAAGTCTCAGATTCTGTCCCACAGATTCTTTAGCATTCTTCTTAAATCAAAATGGAGAAGGAAGTGCATTACTAAATCACTCCTATAAAACTGGGCACATAAATCAATGAGAAACCCTGTGTGCAAATAGAAGGAGTGACGAGAACAGCGAGACAAGGTTCAGACTGACAGCGTAAAAAGGGGAAATTAATACAGGAAGACTCAGGATTTAATCCTGACCAAACTATCCCCCACACCCACAAACAGTGGGAACTATCTGGCGCAGCTTGCTTCGAGCACTTGCCGTCTCGCTGCAGCTCCTTTCCCTGGACAGGTGGAAGGGCCCCGTGCGACGCTGGCGGGCTGCAGCAGGTCTCCTGGTGGTGAGGGTAGAAGCGGCGGGGGAGGTGGCGAGCCGGAGAAGCTGGAGGTGAGCTGGCTGCTGGCGGCCCAGCAACCCACCCCGCCCCCGCCGTGCTCGTGGCGGGACGCGAGGAGGCTGACGGAGCGCTGCAGGGAGGAGGACTGCGCGGGAAGGCGGCTGGAGCTGCGTGGTGGTGGGGTGGAGCTCGTCAGGCTGCAACGAGCCATTCCTACGAGCCCCCCCAGTACTGGGCTGAGAGCGGTGGTGGAGGGAGAGGCCGGGAGCCGTGCATATCAGCTGAGCGAGGCAACGACAGCAGGTCTGATCCGCCAACCTCNAGACTTCCTTACGAGCTTCAGCCGGCTTCCACAGATACATTTTTTATGTAAGGGGCAGATTTTTTTCGGCTGTGTATTTTCAAATAAGCTTTGACATAAATACATAAAAAATGTATCTGTGGAAGCCGGCTGAAGCTCGTAAGGAAGTCTGAAGGAAGGGGCAGATTTTTTTCGGCTGATATTTAAATTCTAGCGCACTCGAGCTGGTTTCTCCATTCTTACCTACCCTACCTTTAAGATAAGTTAATGATTAGGTAAAAAAGAATACTTCTGGAGTTCAAATGCTTTAGGAGTAAGTCAATAAATGTATTTAAGAAAATGTGTTTTTTTGTATCATTACAGAAAACCTTGTGCCAAACATTTTCCTGGAGCTTTTCTTTGTGGTGCAGCTGCTCACGTCTCGGTCGCCTCACACTCATGATGAGGGAGAACAGGGCAGTTTGTGTGTGGGTCATACAGGTGTGTAACCCTTTTATTCCGTTTTTTTTAACTTTCTGTTAGATTTGAAATAGCTATTAAGTTCATTTCTGTTCACATTTACAGAAGTTCTGGAGAGAAGCTACCTGAGACAAGTACACAACTGTGTGTATTTTGCGGTGAAGGTTCTGGAGAGTCAGTTTCAGTGAGTTCTTTTTATTTCTCATTTCACAGTTTCCTGCAATTTCCTCCTTTTCACTAACAGGAATATATCAGTTCACAGCTCCCTGATATTTGATGTGGCTCCTTCAGTCTTCGTGAGTTGATTGTAGTTGTGATTTCTTGTCAGGTTGGTTTCTAATTTGGACAAGTGCACCTTGCGTCTGCTGGCAGAGAACGAAAGAGTGGCGTCTTTCTCTCCGGATCTCAGAGACCTCCTGACTCAGGCCCAGGAGGGGAGCACAGCCAAGGTGAAACACTATAAATGCTTTTTTGTTTCCCTGAGTGATACTGAAATATTGGGTGATGAATACACACTTCTCTTATTTACGAGAACACTTGATTTCAATTCTTATTATTTTGAATGTTTATAGCTTTAACTGTTGTTATCATTAAATCTGAAAATCTTTTGATAATCTATTAACCATCTGAGTAATACAAATAAATAAAGTAAATATTATATAACAAGTTGATGCTTTATAGACAATGATTGATCGATTAATGGAGAAAATAATTGGGATATTAATCCATAGTGGTAGGACAGGGACACGGGAGACATTTAGGAAGGTGAGGAAGACTGAGATAAGGATACAACTTATCACTAGAACCTTAAAGGTCCCATGTCACGGCCATTTCTACTGATCATAATTCCATTGTTGAGGTCTACTAGAATAGATTTATACTGTGCAATGTTCCAAAATCACATTGGTTTCTCATACAGCATCTCTGTATAGTATGTGTATTCACTCTCTGTCCTACACGCCTTGTTGGAGCTCCTGCCCCCCCCCCTCCCTATGAGCCCAGTGGCCGTCTGCGAGACAGCGAAACCCAGCCCGAACACACACACACCCGCAGCCTGGCTGGGACTTTGTGTGTGTGCTCAGGCTGAGTTCCACACCAGTGAGCCAGCTCACAGTGTCCTGCTCCTCGCAGCAGCGAGCCTCGCAACGTCCCGCCGAGTGAGTGTGTGTGAGGAAGTCCGCGGATTGGTCCAAACGTAACGGCTCTGCGGACGTAACGTCACTATACCCAAATACGTCACGAAACCCAAGAAGTAAACAATGGAAAAAGAGAAATGTCCAACGAGGCGTTCTGGGGCAGCATAGACAGGTCTTTCCTGTGTTAGAGTTTTACTCACTACAGGGTGTACTTTGAGGGGTTGAGACTCTGCAGACCGTTTACATTTAGAAAAAGCTACAGTACATAACACACACAAGGGGACGGGTGATAACCAGAAAAGCACGACATGGGACCTTTTAATATTTGTTTAATCTCTACTCTTTTAACTGATTTGTTTTTATTCCTCCATCTGTTCCAGCTCTCTCTTTCAGTTTCTACTTTCATCCACTCAGTCCCATTCCAGCCGGCTACTGACAACCGCTCCAACTTTGGTAGTGACAGAGCTTTCCACATCTTCAAAAAGCAGAGGTACCTCTCGCTTCATGAAAACTCCCTGTCTGAAAATGTGTAGCAGAGTCAAAAACTTCTATATATGTAAAGATCTTGATTTCAAGCAAGCTCTTCACTTTCTTTTCTCAGAGATATTTTTTACGAGGTGTTACGAGAATGGGAGGACTATCACAAAGAGCCAGGGTGGAGTTTTGATGTTGCTCTCGGAAGCAGGATAAGGCAAGTCTATACAACTTTTACAAAAAAAATTGTTTACGGATCGGGTGTGATTTCAATACTTAAATGTTTTTTTCTATCTGTCCTTTTTAGGGGAATGATGAGTCAACTGACCTCGGCCGGAAACCATTCCCATTTTGCTCGACTGTTTCTGAAGCAGCTTGTTCAGGTAAACCGTGGCATTCAGATATTTTAAAATGGGGTTTTATTACGTACAGCAGCGTTTCCACCAGGGGGGGGGAAGTCTTTGCCGTCATTTGAAAAAAAAAAAAAAAAAACTCGAGAAGTTTGTATCGCTTAAAATTACGAAAAGGGACAAGGACATCTCTCTGTTGGAGGGGCAAAGGAGTACTGCCGGCGAGCCTTGACGGGGGGTGCTTAGTGGAGCACGCGCATGAACTGCGAGCGCCCTCTCAGCCCTGGTCTGGCGGAAACACTGACGTACAGTTCATCACTTACAGTAGATAGCGGTAACAGAAGTGTGGCTTATTGAACAAAGCTGTCACCATGTCACTTTTAGATGTGCAAAGGCCCCAGTGTGAACAGCTCTCCTGGTGATACTGCCGATGCTGACCTGCTAGGCATGCTGGGAGCTGACAGCCTGGGGCGTCTGAAGCGTCTGGAGGAGCGTCTCATCCAGCCTCAGGGAGTCGCCGGCCCCTGCCCTCCTCCATCCTTCCCCGGTCACCAGGAGTTCTTCAGGGATTTCCTGCAGGCAGCTAGCTGGTAAGCAAATACCAATAAATACACCGTTTGATGTCAAAAATATCAAATCTATCATGTAAGAATAAACATACTCGCACAATGCTAACATCTGTCTTTGTTTATTCATCATTTATTTATGCAGGGGGAGCTTAGGATTTATGAAAACCTTACTTAGGATTCTTAGATGTTTACTACAAAAGGATATTTGTTTAAAATAAAGATGTTTGTCCTGTCTGTGATGCAAATGTTTTAAATAATTCCAGTGTGTTTATCTGTGATGATACGATTTAAGGCAAGGCAAGTTTATTTATATAGCACTTTTCAACACAAGGCAATTCAAAGTGCTTTACAAAAAATGAAAGACATTAAGAAAATGGCATTTAAAATCAGTCATTAAAAAGAAAAGTTAATAAAATAAACATTAAAAGAAAAAATACATGGATAAAAGTTACAGTGCAGTCTAAGATGTGAATAGTTCAATTAAAAGCAGCGACAAAAAGAAAAGTCTTCAGCCTGGATTTAAAAGTAGTCAGAAGTTGGCAGCGGGACCTGCAGGGTTTCTGGGGGTTTGTTCAGATTTAAACACAATTAGATTATTATCGAATAAATATCCTTGATTCTCATTTTGTTTTGACCATTTCATAGACGCCAAAACGGGTTAAAAGAAATGTTTTTGCCTAGGTTGTACGTTTTGGTTATTCTTCAAGTAATAATAATACTGTATTTGTGCCTTTTTAACAGTAGTACGTTATTTTTATTTCATTGACAGATGCCCTTTTTTTATTCATAAAAGCTTTCCGACGTACAGAGGTGGAGAGAGCCGGATTTATCGTTTGTTCTCTGTTGTCCCTCTGTGAGTATCTAAACTCATTAGTTTCGCTTCTGCAATTACTGATGTGTCCGCACGCTTTGTCCTTTTTGGTCTGTTACGCGAGCCTGAACCAGTCTACACTCCCTGCCTTAGGACTCTACAGAAGCTCTTAACTTGCTTATTTGATAGTGTGGTCCTCAGTTGACCAAGTCTCCTTCCCAGCTGGCTGTGAAAGCTGAGGCAAAGGAAATTAGGTTTGATAATTACAGAGGTCGACGATCGTCTCAAGAGCGGCTCCCCTATCTTCCATCGCGGGAAGAAGGAAGTCCAATCATTTGGGGAATCAAATTTAACAATTTTCTATATTAAGGTGATTTAAAAGTGAGGGGGATAATACACCATGGTAGAAAGCACGCCCTTTCAGCGTGACAGGTTTGATTTAATTCCTTCATCCAATAAAA